ATTTTACCCTAGATTTTTTCAAATCTATACTACTTTAAAAAGCACAAATAGCCTCAAGAATATTTCTAAAATTTTTTAAGGACAAAAGTTACCCCTCTATATTTAAATTTATTGATAAAAAATGAGGGCAAATAGGGTAATCAGTTATGATATTAAATGAGTTGAAAAGATGTAATTTTAAGATATTCAATGCATTCAATTACCTTTCATTAAATTCAACATTTAAGGAATTAACTTACATTCACCTTCATTAAATCATATATTTAAAACATTTTTGTTTCTTCTCATCATTAAGTTATATTAATTAAATCCATACATAATAAATTAATAATTCCAATAACAAAAAAATTTATACTTTTAAAATCTACTTAAGAAAAAATAGTGTTTTCATATAGGTGGTGGTAAGAAATTAAACCATTTTGTGTTAAATGGGTTAATCAATGTTGCCACAATTAAATAATAAAATTCAAAAAATAGATAAAATGCAAAATTATAAAAATAAAAAATAATTGGGAACATTTTAGCATCATATATTCGACATATTAAACAATAATAAGTATGATAAATAATGAACATTTTTATTAATGATAGAAATTGAATGTAAAATTTAAAATTAATTGGATATATTCTCTCATTAAACCCTATATTTAAGATATATTTTTTTCATCATTAAATTCTACGGATTAAAGACACAACATTAATTTTAATAGTATAAAAATAAATATTTTTAAAAATAATTTGAAACCCATGTTTATCAAATACTTTTTAGTAATATGAAACCCATGTTTTTAAGGGGTAAAATTCTAAAATATCCCTTGGAATTTTTGACCATTGCTAAAAACCTCCCCTAAGGTTAGGTAATTGCAACCACCTCCTTTGAACATTGTAAAACAATTGCAAGTAGACACCTTCTCTTATAATCCACAAACAAGAGGCATGAAAATGCCCAAAATAACCATGTAGTTAATTTGACTAAAATATTTATTTTCCAAATTTTCCCTTCATATCAATCACTACCCCAAACCCTTCCAATCTCTTTTCCGAAATTGATTTATTTTATAAAATTTTCCTTCATATGAATCCCTCAAAGTTGCAATTTAAACTTTTTTTTTGTTGTTGTTCATAAAGTTTGTATTGTTTGTTATGCAAAAACCAGTCTCAATAGTAATTGCATGGGTATTTTGGACATTTGTGTGCTTCTTGCTAGAGGATTTTAAAAGAGGGGGTCTACTTGCAACTATATCAGAAAGTTCAAGGGAAGTGATTGCAATTACCAAACTTTAGGGGAGATTTCAATAATGGTCATAAATTTTATGGGAGGTTTCAACAATTTATCCTTTCATAAAATTAACAAAAAAAAAAAAACAAAATTATTCAATCATCCCGGTTAATTGGGTGAATCCATGATATCATAATTAATATTTCCCATTTGGTCTGGGTCAACAATTCAACTCTTAGGTCAAATGTGTCAATATTTGATGTCATAATTAAATAATAAAAAATTAAAAATGAAAAATATACAAATTTTGCAAAAAAAAAAACATTTGAGCGCATCTCTAATAATTGTATATTCATCTTATAAAATAAAAACAAGTTCCATAAATAAGAATTACTTTTATACACATGTAAATATAAAAAAAAAGTAATTTGAATTTAGTCCATTTTTAATTGTGAGGCAAAAACATGTAATTTTAACTATTATTTTTCAACTCATTCAAATCCCTCTCATTAAGTCATATATTTAAGGTACTAATTCTCATTCTTAGGGGAATAGCCATTCGAGGCTTCCCACCAGGAATGGTATTCCCATACGAGAATCTATCAAGAAATAAAGAACTCATGACAAAAGGCCCCCCAAACCCTAATGTTAATAAAATAATAAATTAATAATAAGTTAATAGTAATAAAATAGTAATAATATATTAATAATAAAATAATAAAATATTAATATAATATAATTAAAGTAATAATAATAAAAATAAATACATAATTAAACAATAAAGTATTATGAAATTAATAATAATAATAATAATAATAAAATATTTATAAAATAATCATACTATAATAAAATATTAATAAACCAATAAGAAAAATAATAATATAATATAATAATGTAATAAAATATTAATAAAAAGATTATTCAAGTAATAATAATATAATTATATTTTAATAAAATATTCATAAATTAATTATAAATACTAATGAAATAATAAAAACAAAGTAACAATAAAAAGCTAAAATATTATTTATTAAATAATAAGAATAATTAAGTACAAATAATATATATATATAATATAATTAAAGTAATAATAAAATACTAACATATTAATTATTCAATAATAATAAATTAATTCTAAAACAATAATCAAAATGATAATAAATAAACTAATAAAAAGTACTAATAAAACGTAATAAATAGACTAATAAAATTACTTTCGGTCCTGTCCGCAAATCAAACAAACCCTAAATCTCTTTTTTTTCAACATTGAACCAAAAAATGAAATTGTCCTATCTAGCTAGGTAATAGGTAAGCAATTCAACCATCTGGGTCAAATGGGTCAAGCCGTTATACCATAATTAAATAATAAAAATTAAAGAAAGACAAAAACACAAAATATACAAAAAAAGTACATAATACTTGTAGAAAACATTTAGAACATCTCTAATATAAAATTATTTTATAAACATAATATTACACTCTTTGGGACAATATTTGAATGTATATTACTATTTTTATCATCTAAAATTGCCACATGCAAATTTACTAGTAAATAATAAGAGGATAGATCACATATTACCACCCCGACACTTAGCCAGTTAGCCCCCGAACATTTATTATTTGTGATAAAAACCTTCCTGAACTTTCAGAGTCAAGCACACCCAGGATTGCCTGCTCGCTCTGCTGTGTATCATTTGCTACATAACCAATCACAAGTGACCATGGTGCGAGCAGCAGATCTGTGCTCCTCTAGATGGAATGCAACTCCTAAGGGATGGTTTGGTTTGAAACACCCTCAATTTTCTGTTTCTCCCTTATTTTCTATCAAACAAAACATAGCCTAAAGACCCAATATGCTTAATCCTAGCTAGTGACTGAGGAGAGGATACTTCATCTCTAGTTCTTTCCTAATCCATCCATCACAGAAATCTGAACTGAAGCACAGAACTTAGATGCATGCATGCACACACACATGCATGTAAAACATTTTAGAGCTAGGGATGTTCTTGGGTCAATTCAGTTTCAGCCCATTCCCATGTATACCTAGAAATAGACCCAGATTGTATCGATAAAAGAGGAAAATAAAAGTGTGATTAGGTTTAAAAAAAAAGAAAAACAAAAAACTATTGAACTGTAAAAGAAGAAAAACTACACTACCATCTAAGCTAAAACATCTATATCTACATAACACAAAAGAGTGTAAAGCATCAACAGAAATTCTGTTACAGAATAAGTACATAAATAAAATGTTTATTAAAAGGAAAAGGAACAGTAGTAAACATTCCTTTTTTTTTTCTTTTGAATACAAGTCCTAAATGCAGGCAAATCTAAACCACAATATTTCCATTAGAGCTTACTATTTGTGTAGCCATCATGATGGCCATTTTCAATGTTTAACTTGAGCTTTCCAGCGTACGAGTTCAGCTTTCTAGTGCACCGAAAAAGGAAAATTCACATGGTGCCCGGTGTCCTATAATAAAGCTTACAAGTTACAAATACAATGAATGAACAAATAAATAAGCATATTTTACTACATCAGATGCTACACCATCACTTAAAACAAATACATTTCATGAAAAAAAAAAAAAAGAATATCCAATGGCCATTCTCAATAAGACTGTTTATCAAACCAATGAGGCAATTAAACCAATCAATTCAACCCAAGCTGGTCAATTTTTTAGTATTTAATATGGAAAAGTGGAAATTTCTCATATTTTCTACTTTAAATATTTTATATTATAAATTTAATTTTTAATAATATAGCTGAAATTTTTAATTTAAATTTAATTTTTTCAGTTTAAATTTTTTGAACTGATACAACCTGAATTGATCAGTTTTCACTAATGGTCAATCAGTTTCAAGTTACCAATTTCTCAACCCAACCAAGTCGGTTCAGTTAGCCAAACAGCTTACAACTGAACCAAACTGACCTATAAACACCCCTACTTCTCAACCATTTCTTCAAGCAAGAAAACACTTGATCAACAAGAATTTCGAGCATAATATACTGGATATATACTTCTCTCAACCATTTCTCAAAACACATCTAGTGCTTACTCCCATAAGAGAATAGAACAATAACAACATAGAGTATGTAGCAAATTTGAACTCTAACGTCAACTGCCTCTATAATTTTTGGTAGGTAAATGGGCTACACAACCTGGGGATCGAAGCCCTTACCCAGGTTGGGGAATTGAATGCTATTTGCAAAGCTCTTTCTTTGGCTAGGGATAAGGGATGGCATCATCTAGTTATTTATTCAGCCTCCCCTTTAATAATTAGGGTTTTGCAAGAAGCAACGTTGAAATTCCTTGGCAGTGTTTATTTTGTGGATTGTATCAAAACCCTTTCTTTTGAATGTGGATCAGAAGTTGTGGTTGGATCAACCACCTACCTGTTATTACGTAATTTGAAATTCTGAATATTGTTTTTGATTCTCTGAAATGAATTTCTTTTTTTATGATACTTTTATCTAGCAAAAAAATGTGGGATCAGTTGACACAAACCAAGATTATGATCAATACCCAAAAAAAAAAAGAACCAAGATTATGATCGTATCACTAGGTCAGTAGTTGGACCATCTGAATCAACGATTGAAAACACTGGGCTCTACTGGACTTGATTCACATCTGCCACTGAAAGTAACCAATTTGCCACTCTTCCCACATACCAGGTTTTGCCAAAAAAAAAAAACATTTATAAACATAAATTTCAGAATTAAGAGCTTTCAACATCAAAGATAATAGTCCAGAGTTCAACATATGGAATCAATGAGAAAGACTGAACCACCCCCCTTTAACCTTTTAATGAATGGATGTCTACAAGAAAAATGCTTCAGTTGGCATAAAATGGATGAATGTGAACTTTACAGATTTAAACTTAGAACTACAGCTTTAAATTGACTCTTGGATTTACGGGGCAACAAGATTTTTCTTTTGGGTTTACTGGTAGTCTGGAATCCAGGCTCACATAGACAACCAAAGTAGGAAGTTGCCCTCTTAACAAGAAAACATACAATTGAATTATATATACCAAAACGCTTCTTTACAGTTACAGATTTCATCTAACACAGCCCTCTTATTAGGGATGAATACACATCTTACATCTTAACTGCAAATTCTTAAGAAACATTTTGCATTGAAAGCAGTCAGACTCCAGCTTGTCATCTCCTTAAAAAGTTGAATGATTTGATTGCGTAGGCGAAAATCAATGCAAAGATAACAGAAAACATAACCACCATAAGACTCGCATAACCCAAAAAGTCATGCCTGTATCCTAACTGGTCCTGAAGTAACTGTCTTATGGGCACCGAGTTGACTCCATCAGAGAGCTTCACGTGATCATCCACATCACCGTATTGGGATGTCAAAAGGCCATACAGACTCCAGGCTACAGGATTTGCCCAGTAATACCATCTCCACCAGATGGGAATCCTCTGCAAAGTAAGAGACAATTTAGTAGTAGCAAGAGGCAAACATTATAACTTGCATTAAATAGAATGGAATAGCAAAACAGAATTCATGTAGCCGACCCCATATAGTTGGGACAAGGCTTAGATGATGATAGTGAAGGCAAACATTATAACTAGTTCCTTTGGCCAAGGATCACTTTTTTATGAAGCCCATCCAGGCAAAACATTCGCTAAGTGCTCAGAAAACAATCTTTTACAATACAATCAGAAAGAAATTCTGGAGTCCTAGACCTGGTCTGAATTGTGTCAATTGCAGAGAATATCTTGCCACCAAGCAGGCAGCTAAATTAGCAGACGGGTGTGAAAACCACAAAGCACTGGTAGAAGAAAACCATTAATGCCCTGCACTCAGCCGCCAATTAAAAATGATATGCCAAGGAGGATCGGTACTCTCCTCAACAGGGCTTGAATTACCATTAACACACCTCCCTCCACCATCAGATGACTGATTCCAAGCTGCACTGAAACTTTTAGGCCTTCCATCAAGGGTAATTGCTTGACAATTCAAAGATAAATGTTCACCTCCCTTTGTTGTCAATGAGTATTAACAAAGGGATAATGATCTCCAAGCCCATTAATCAGTTTAATCAGATGTTCAGTGTCTGATTAGGTTGTCTTCGGATGATGGAAAATCTAATTCATTGCCTACAAGGCTACAATTGAATGCCAGCTCCCCTTACTCTTCTAGTTAAACCAGGTGGATAATGCCTTCATGATACACCCCAATTAAAGTATCTCAATAAACAATAAGCCCTATCCATAACACAATTCACACAGAAAAAGGGTGAAAAGCATGATAATAGGGACAAAATATTGGATTCTTCACAGTGAAATAACCATTGGAGTGAAATCTTCCATGTTTTTTTGGTAGACAGACCAAGACATGCAGCAGGATTCTAGACTCTAGTCTTAAATGTAATCTCGTCCATTTTACCAATGCCTGACATGAAATATTTGTAGTTTTTCTATGGGATTGTGGAAAGCACGCAGAAATGCCAAAAAGATTAAAAATGCCAACACTTTCAGATAAGGTTTCCATTGTGCAATCCTGTCTGAAATCAGTCCAGTTCATCAATGTGTTGGACAAAAGATTCTAGTCTAGTGGTTTCTGCACAGGTTCAATATACCCTTCTCCTACTCTAGTGGTTTCTGCGAGTTTCTTCCCATTCCAAGGAAGAAACTTTTTTGCCAAGATACTCACTTTGTCTCGTAAAATGCACATTGCATGAAAGAATGCTTATCAGAAAGGAATGATGTGCAAAATGAGCATTGTATGTTACCTTGTGAGCAACCATGAATCCACTGAATAGGTTCCACATCATATAGAAGGGAGCAGCTATAATTGCAGCGACATTATGGTTGGGCGTGATTGCAGTTGTCATCATCCCAAAAAATGTGAAGTACAATATAGTGAAATACATAAAAAATAAGTACCAAATGAACTTTGTAAGGGACCATTCAAATGCAGCCATAGAGTAGAACACGGTACTGTAAATAAGTGTTTGCACAAACACGTAAGGCAACTCGATGGAAACCTGTCCACAAGAAATTCCCAAGTGCTTATCAATTGAAAATAAATGGTTTATCAGACTATCAAAAAATTGGATAAGGAAAAAAATTAGGGACCTGTGCTATTGCGAAAGGTAGAGCTGAATACATTCCTGCTGCTCGTTCTCGGTAAGACACGAACCTTTCAGTGGAAACTACTGGTTGAACAGCTGTAGCATTAGTTATCCCAATAAACAGAACTGCTGCATACATGGACCCCATGGCATTGAAAATATCTTGTCTGGTCTCCCTGTAAAATTGAATGCAGACCCCAGTCTTATGAATATCAAAAGGAAGCTCTGAATTTTTAGGTCATAATTACAGAAGAAATAGGAGATAAAGGAAAAATGATCTAGCTGGGATGCAAATGATATCTGTTTGTCTGAATTCAAATTCAAATCCAGTCTGATAAAGGTGAGCCAAATTCAATCCATTTATAGTTGGATTAAATATTAACCCACCCCAGTCTAAATCATCATGATCCAATCCAGTAAATTGGGCACAGTTGTACAAATAAATCGATGGGATGGACTCTAGCAAAGTCCCTATAGGGGTGCTTTTGGCAAACTGTATATAATGCATTCTTTTATGGGAATCAATACCTATAGTTACCAATAAAAAGTATTTAGTTTCTTTCAGAATTTAGAGTTGCATGCACAGGTAGGGTGATTCTTCAAGAGCATTATTGTTGGCAGTTCTACAAGGAGTATAATGGGGGAAAATACTACATTACAATGGATTGATAGTAGAAGGGGACTCACAAAAGTAGTTGTGGGTTGGTTGAAGCCTAACAGTATTGCCTTGTAGACATATAGGAATGTGATAAGGAAGTGTAGGCTAAAGGCAACTTTCAGATGGACCAAATGTCAGCCAATAGAATAGCTGATGCTTGTCAGACAAGGGGTCAATAGCAGGAACCAGTTATTTAGGGGGCAGTTTCCCATGGTGGAAATTCATGATTTGTACATTTTATTGTGAACGTAAATAGGAGTTGGTAGTTGGACTAGCCCAAACACAAGGGCTTTGGCATCATTGCATGTACTTCATTTTTAACTATAAATCAAAAGAATTGATTACTAGCAAAAAAAGTTAGATTTGCATGCACTTGTATTTTGTTTTTCTTTTTAGTATTTTTCAACAGTGGTGTCTCACTTCATGCTAGTGTGTACCTTGGTTTTTGCCTTGCTCTAAAACCCCCTTTGCCCTTTATTTGCACTTCTCACTTTTAAAATGCTACTAATTCTACAAGCAGCCATTAAAACCATCAACAGCCTACAAATTCATCACCAAAGCGACTACTTAACATTTTTAAAGACTAAAGCTGATTCAGGTACATTCTCCTCAAATTTACAACAAATCTTGACTTACACATTTCAATAGTTTTCATCCTCTTGTGCCAACCCTTTGTTTATCAGCAATTTGTTTTTTTATTGATTTGTAATAAAGAATATGGTATATGTACAATAGAAAAAGTGTTTTGTGCAAAACCATCTTCCAAATGCCTTCATATTAGATCACCTATGATAAGATTATGACTTTATCACCTTCCATCCTACAAAATTTAATTTCTTTAAACCTTAGTTTTTGGAATTTTAGAAATTAATCTTACAAATGGAATTCTTTGTCCTTTTTCAAAAATCTTATCAGGATAGTTTTAAATTAAATGTGCTCATAATGTATATCAACTTAAACATCTCTACAAATTTTCATTAACATATTCCATCACAATCCTTAAACTTAATCTTTGAGTTCTTTTATTTTTCACAATCCCGAGGAAAATCTGCAATTCTTAGATATTTTGGCTATAACTTTTCTAACCCCTATCAATGTTTTAGTCGTAAAGACATACCTAAACCCTTCTTGGCCATTATGACCCCTCCTAGTCTCATCATTGGTTCTACCTCACCAACCTGTCATTTTCTAATCAATCAAGGGTTTAATGGATCAAATATAGGAGATTAATAATTTCAAACTTTAGTTGACAAAGAAATAACATAATCATCCTAGCAATAGACATCCTTGAATGATTAGTCATTTCCTGACCAAGGACTAAAATACAGTTGGAAGGTTGAGATAACATATTAAGACCCATCCTTGGTCCTGGACATTTAGGCATCATCTACCAAGTATGGGAACCATGAGTAGGGTGTACTGCAAACTTTCAAGGGAGGAAAGATCCCTTTCATCTGCAATATTAAAAATGCACTCCTTTCAAGTAAAAAATATATAACACAGTTTACCACGAGAGAAAACATCTAAATAAGGTTAAAATTAAAACTAATGCAGAAATGTCCAAAGGAAGAACCTTTTAGAACCAAATCTCCAACATATTGTTCCAAACATCAAAGAAATGATGACTGTGTAGAAGAACCGAACTGCAGTGTACTGAGGGTTTCTCCAGTAAGACAGGTTTTGCTTCCACAGGCAGGCAAGAAATTGAGCTAAAAAGGACCGACAATATTTGTTGGGAAAAAATAACTCTTTGGAATCACTATTTGGTTTGCTCAGACTTTCAACCAAATCCATGTTTTTCCTGCAGAACCCAAAAACAAAACAATTAGAGGCCTGTGAAATTGCAATTTCCAACAATCTTTCTTGAAAGAACAATACATACTGGTACAGACTAGATCTCTGGTATACTTCGGCAAAATCCACTCCAAGGCGACTTTCTTCAGAGGAGGAAGTAACCTCTAGCATCCAAGCAGCTGGATTATAACCAGGCCTGATCTTCTGGACCCCTTCAACTGCCTGCTAAGACAAAATGTATATTTAACCAAAATAATATTAGGGAGGACTCAGTGCCATTTTCCAAGGACCTTATATGAATTGACATGTAAAAGCATTAGCCTACCTCGAAAAACTCAATAAGCTTGCATGACTTGGCTCCCAATGGACCAGCATAAATAAGCTCTCCTCCCCGCTTCATAAATAAAAGCTGCAACAGGAAATGAGAAGCAATAAGATAATTTAGTCAATGTTGAATTGAGGTATGGCTGTTTTCAAGGTTCAAAATTTGGTCATGTATTGGCCCAAATCAACCAATACATACCGTACTCGTGGGTCACTCATATGCAAAGTAGGAGAGTTTTGGGGTTTTGACCTATTTCAGGGGGTAGACAGGCCTAAGACCTACCCCTGACATGTTTTTGAAAAAAAAAAAAAAACTAGAAAAAAAGGTGGCCACACCCTTGCACCATATCAGGGTGTATCGATATTTTGAACCTTAGCTGTTTTCTAGAAAATGTGAAACAGAGATCTAATAAGCATTACAATTGTCTTTAACAATACAATTGAGCATGGGTATATCCTCCATAGACAGACAGAAGCTGGCTAGAATTTACAGGATATTTGAATACTACCTGACATGAAATGATTTTATTATGGTTCTCAATTTGAGACAAGAATCTCACCACCTAAAATGGAGTGACTTCTGGTTGCAAAGAAACCATATAAATCTGTCATTTTAGGATTTCAAGATATTAACTCATTTCAATTTTTTTCTTAAAAAAAATAAATAACTAAAAGGAACTGATCAAGGTTCCTGTCTGCAATAATTTCGGCTTGTTGTCAAAACAGAGGTTTTGAACTGTACAGAGATGTGATATGGATAACTCTTTGTCTCTTTCTACTTCGCAAAGGAATCACTGGATACTAGTGCTGAAACTGGGTCATATTCAGCTTCAGCCACATCTGAATCTGATCTGATTATTGAAAAATCAAGTTTGAATCCAACCTGAAATGTCAGACTTGGATCAGATTCAGATTTAATCCAAATCCACTATTGTCTTTAAAACAAAGGAGAATTTTAAAAAGTCTTAAAAATTAGGGTGATTGTCTAGAACTCCCCTTCTCTTTTCTCCAATTACTTTAAACAAACCCTGACTTTTAACCTCCAGAGAGCCCCCTGCCAGAGAATTTTTATTATCAGCTAATCACCTTCCATCAGGCCACTGTATTGACCATGACAGAAGTTGTTTGTATAAACAATTAATTTTTTACTGACCAAACTAGCCCTGATTGCCCAACCTTAGCGAGGAAATCAATGGACCATAAAAAAAGGTAAAGATCTAATTTTCCAAAGCAAAACGAAGATCTGAATATTGTCATGGAAATCCTTTGGGTGTGATGAAGTACTGGAAATCATTGGAAGCTATTGGATAAATTTAAACAAAAGACCATTGTATCCCAACGTTGTCCACAAGAAACAGATGTAGTTAGGGGTGCTCATAAAAAACTGAAAAACCAAACCAAACTGAAAAATGCGGTTAACCAAACTGATCCATTCAGTATTTTTGGAAAGCTGAAGGACCAGTTTGGTTTTGTTACAATTTCTTTATTTCCTTTGTCTCAAGTGGAGGGTTAGAATGGTAATTTTGCAAAAGTCGTTCTTCAACCAAGGACAACTCTCTGACAGAGGGTCTCTGGAGGCTTTAAAAAGTCACAGTATGTTTAAGAGAATTGAAGAAAAGTGAAGGGGAGTTTTACATGATAACTCCAAAAATTAATTACCTCTTAACTTATACATACATAATCATATATAGTTATGTACATATAACGAATTTTAATCGAACTTGGATCTTAATTGGATCAGGTGGAATCAAATCCACATCCGATCTGATTGTTAAATGGATGCATATTTTATGATCTGAATCCAAAATAATCAGATCAGTATCAGCCAGGTTTCAGACTTTCAGGGTCCATTGACAGCCCTAATGCACATTACCCCCAACAGACCCACGCATTTGGACAAATCTCATGTGAAATGACAACTGAATTTTCCATTGTTAATGTTATTCTAGAGAAAGTGTAAGAAAATAACTTTTTTCTTTTTGCTACATGGAAGGCTCCTTCAGAAGAGATTTGGAGAAGGGATGAATTCAAAATTCGTGGACCCCTTTGGTCCTACAACCTCAACTGATGCATGTATGAACTAAGATTGAAACTTAGACCAGTAGCATCAACTATGTATATAACTGTGTTTCTAAATGCAACAGAAAAAAAGACCAAACGAATAACAATTTTTACAAATCATAACTAGGAAGAGAGAAATACCTCATCAAAGGATTCAAAAATGTCAATGCTTGGCTGATGGATTGTGCACACAATCGTCCGTCCAGTATCAACAATATTCCTCACAGTCCTCATTACAATAGCTGCAGCTCTTGCATCCAGTCCTGAAGTTGGTTCATCCATAAACACAATAGATGGATTCGCAACCAACTCTACAGCAATTGTCAGCCTTTTCCGTTGCTCTGTGGACAACCCATCAACCCCTGGTAAACCAACCAGGGCCCCACTCAATGAAGTGAGCTCCACAAGTTCCATCACCTCTTCCACAAATGCCTGTAAGTATACCATTATAGAAATCATACCATGACCAAAATACAATAAGTAATCCAGCAATGTTTTATTATTACCTTTTGTGTCTCCAAGTCAACATGTTGAGGTAAACGGAGCAAAGCAGAGAATAAAAGTGATTCACGAACAGTTAAGCATGGGGAATGAACATCGTTCTGCTCACAATAACCAGAGATCCTGGCAAAAGTTTCTTGCTTTTTGGGATAACCTGATATATAAATGCCGCCTTCTATATGTCCACCAGTTTTTCTACCAGCTAGAACATCCATAAGGGTAGTTTTACCAGCACCACTAACTCCAACCAACGCTGTCAGCACTCCTGGCCTAAATGCTCCAGAAACATTAAACAACAACTGCAATCTTTCTTCTAATACACCTTGCTGCTTCAGTTCCTGTAACAAATAGCAAATATTACACAAAAGAGAACCCTGAAAGAATCCCCCTTGGGGAAACAACAAAGGTAGTCCTTCTTAGCTTAAAGCTATTAATTTGTAGCTTTAATTTCAAGGACTAATAAGAGGTCTGGAGACTCTGCAGCCAGGATTTCAGCCCCTGGAAACTAAGAATGTTCTATTTGCTACTGCCTATAATATTGGGTGAGAGGCATAATGTACCCCATATTTCTTTTTTTTTTAGTATTGAGTTGTATTAAAAGTGAAAGCTAATTACATCATCAGCCCATTTACAATGAGAGCTTGTACATTCAGAATATACAAAAAACCTGAGAAGCCACTCAAGAAAAGGTCCAGCTTGCAAAAAACCATGAAAAGCTTTGTACACTCAACCAGGAGAACAGCAAACCTATAAGGTTGTTCTTAACTGAGTCTAAATCAGAACATTTGTTCTCTTCCCAAGGATCACATCTACTATATAAATTAAACCAACATGGCTCATTTTTCTCTGTTTCTTCACAATTTCTTGGAAAATTTCTCCTGATTTTTCTCAACCAATGTAGACCCCCCCTCTCTCTCTCTGTGATCCTTCCAGCACTCCTCCCTCTCTCTCCCTCCTCTCTCTCAAAGTATGTATCATCGACTCCTCTACAAATGCATACCAAACATAGATCTGGAATAGTATAAGTGGGACCACTGGACTGACAGATCTGTAATCCATCTCAAATAACACAATGTCCCAGATGTGTGTTATACAATGCATTATGTAGATGTGTGTTATACAATGCATTATGTTGAAAGACCATTGTTTTTTATTATTATTTGTTTGATATGGATGCCAGGGGTAGATTTTTCATTTCCTCAAACCCTCTCCCTCTCTCCTCTCTTTTTCTCCACTCTTCTCCACATTAACATACCAACTGAATTAATTCTAGATCAACAAATTATTATAAGGGGCACCATGTATTGCTTTTTTTTGTGATAATTAACAGAAGCATTATGCATCACATTGCAGTTCTTTTTAATGTTAATTTTATCTTTTATTGTTATCATGGAATCCATCTGAAGTGATGCAATGTCCAGATCGGTGGTCTATGAATGCATTACAAGGGGCACAATATATTGCATTGTAATTACTTAAAATTAATTTTATTTTTTATTTGCCCGTACTAAGTGCAAGCTCTCAGCTAGTAACAGCTACAAGATAAATGAAAACTTAGAAAGAACTTAAAATAAATGCTACACAAGGGATGGAATCTTTAAACATACCACAGGCACATCCACATAATAATTAATATTGCTGAAAGACATGGAGAGAGGTTGGAATGGAAGAACCATGCCTCTTTTCTCTTTCCCGTTTTTTCCTGCATATAAAAATTAAGTAGAACAACAACAAATGTAAGCATTGGGTGAGACTTGAAAAAAGAATAATATGAAACTTGAAGAATTAACAGTCTTACAAACCAGTAAGTGATCCTGAATGCTGTAAATATTGTCTTAGCTCAGTCACAACATTTTCACCTCTCCGCCTTTTCTCCCTTTCTCGTAGTTCTTCCTTGGAAATAACAGCTTGTTGTTTTCCCAAAGCTGTACAGGAATCGGAAACCATGATCTCAGATGGCTATTATCTTTAATAGGAACATATATGAGCCATAATTCATAATAACTAATATATGTTTAGGAGAAATTCCTTACGATTTAGGTAAGTCAGGAAAATTGTGAAGAGAATGTTAAATAAAATTGCATAACCAGCCAAAGCTCCAACGCCAATCCAATACCAGTAATTCTCAGGAAATAAACTCCGCACTTTCAACAACTCCTTGCCTAATGGTACACTAGTGTTCATCTCAGCTACCTACAATCCCACCAGATTACCACCATCTAAGAATATGTGAAATAGGGGGGAGAGAGAGAGAGATTGAAAAAAGAAAAAGTTTCTGTGCAGAAAAGCAATATTGGAAGTTCACAATAGTTAAGAACAAATAATACAACACTACAACAGTATTCCTCTACAATGCTCCTAGTGAAGCATGCATATCCAATGTGCTAAAATCGGCATTGCTTAGTTGCAGACTATGTTAGAAAAGATGGAATATTCATAATTATCAGAATGAAATAAAAAATCAAATATTCCACCAAAACTATGTAATACCTTATCCCAAGAATGCCCAAGAAATTCATTTACAGAAGCAGCATTTTGAGCGTACATTAAAGGAGAAAACCAATAACCCCAGATCCACCAACTTGGAATGCTGTCTGTCACAATAATACAAAGAGTATAAGCCAACCGACAAACTGAAGTTATTACTTATTAGAGTTTGACAATGGCAGAGATTTGGTTTTGACCTCTGGTAAGGATAAATCCCCCAAGAGCCATGACAACCAGCATTGCAAAAGATCCGAAAGTGTTGGCAACTATCATATTTCTACCTAAGGATGCCATCAGACGAAATAGAGCTATAGACATCTGGTGCAAAAAGAAAAACAACAGGAACTGCCGGAAGAATCTGAAAACCAAAACAAAATGCATCAAGTCAACCATCAAAGTTACAAAAAGAACCAGGTTAGCATAAGGAGTGGATCTTACCTAGTTATTTGTGGATCAAAACCGACTACATAGTATGTAACCACCACCCACATACCAGACTCTATAAGTGAAGTTGGGATGCTTAAAACCCAAGAAGGAAGCGTATAAACCCAACATGGATAGAAGTGCAAGTCCCTATGCTTGTAAAGCACTGGAAGTTTAGCTACCAACATGGAAACCTCTGTAAATCCATTAAATAGAATCATAATCATTGCAAAGTACAGTGCCCCCAAGTATATGATACCATCATCGATGGTGCTATGATGCATTGTTGTCCGGAAAAATACTGTCATTGTGATCACAGCAATAAACAGAAGCTGCAAAACAGTACACATGGTGCTCATAATGAGATATCATAATCTTTTACAGTCCCAAACTCTACTTATAAGCCTCCCTCCACCTCCAGTTCCCCACAAATATAAAGCTATAAGACCAGTGAGATCAGTGCTGTCAAAAATGAACCATAAGAATTCAACCCAATCCATCCTCAATTAAGTGGTCAATAAAATATTCAATATGAGGACATTACCTGAATGAACTTGAAAACATAAATAAAGGAATTTCGTTTCATAAGTAACTTCTGCCAGGAAAAGCTGTTATTAAGAAGCTCAACCCTTGAGACACCATAGTTGGATGTTGACAGGGCAGCCGGATGATTATAACGCTTGTCAAATGAAACGGCTAGTTCCTCTGACAAAATTTTACCAACACGAAATGAACGGAAAGCTTCTGCAAACTTCAACACAGATATGTACTGGTATGGGCAGTCAGGAACTGACCAATACTGCCCTTGATCTTTCTTAGAAGTAACCTAACAAGAATATCCAGATATAAAAATAAACAATCTGCAACATACTAGTTATACATAAGATCTTCAAAGCCAAATTCTTACTTATTACCTCTTGCAAGAAGTCTGCTACATTCTTCCGTTCAGGACATCTAAAACCCATGAATGCAAAGAAGTCAAGTGCAGAATTGCGGGGTCCCTGATATACAATCTGGCCTTCAGATAGAAGAATAATATCATCAAATAATTCATAAGTCTCTGGAGCTGGTTGCAGAAGTGAAATAACTGTGGTCCCATCCAGTGCATGGGTTGAATGTTTAAGATACTTGATTATTTGATATGTAGTTGAACTATCTAACCCAGTCGATATCTCATCCATGAAAAGCACTCTAGCTGGACCAACTAGCAATTCACCTGCCAAACTTACATGTAGCAGCTGTAAGCACTGAATTTTTTTGGCTCTTTTACACCAAGGAAAATTATAAAAGAAAACAGAAAGGAGAAAGGAGAAATGTCTAAATACATACCTGTAGTAAGGCGCTTCTTTTGTCCCCCTGAGATCCCTTTGAGCATTTCATCACCTACCAATGTATCCGCACAAATGTCCAACCCTAGAATCTTTGGAAGATAACAAAAAATTAAAATCGGATATGATACTGAAGAAAAACCAGAGTTGTGAAACCTAACATAATACTAACATGACAATACACATCAAAAAAGTCTACATGGTAATTTAAAATTTTGAAATGTTACGCATAAAAAGTTTATCTTGTAGAGCTAAATGCTTAAACACATTCCTGTAGAACTGAAAGGAAGATTCTAGATGGGTCACTCTGAAGCTCAACCAAAAAATTGCTTAAATTCAGATAAAAAGGAACCAATTAATTTGGATAGACCAGCTACAACCATCTAAGGGTGAGAGCCTGAAGGAAGGAACACTTTGTAATATAAACAGTTTCGCTACCAGTCAGTGTATATAAGGTAATGATCGTTTGTTGTCAACATCTCCACCAAGACATAGAGAGAGAGAGAGAGAGATGTTGATGCAATCTGATAGAAAACAAGAAATTTTTGTTCTTCTTCAACATTACTTCCACAACCATTTCAATTTGACGAGGAAGTTTCAGAGATTGGGAAGAAAGTCAATCACATGTCTCTGAAGAGTAGGGGTGGATTCAAGCCAAGCCGAGCCAAATATCTAGGTATTCAAGCTTGGCTTGCCAATAAACTATGAGGCTCGAGCTCGAGCTTAAGCTCAATTCAAACTAGAGGCTTGAGCTCGAATTTAGCTAGATTCAAAAGCTAGTAAGTTCGAGCTCGACTATGAGCCAAACGTTTTATAAAAAAACAGTTATACATATAAAAAATTATTTTTTATTTGACATATAAAAAGTTAAGAATTATAAAAACTAGTTGTTATTATTACATATCTAAAATAAAAAATATTAAATATATTATTTTTTATATGTATAATATTTTAAAATTTATTTTATATGTATGTATTCGAGCTCAGCTCGATTAGCAAACAAGCCTATATATTGGGCTCGAGCTCAGCTCAAAGCTCGGTTTAGACCAAGCCGAATCGAGCTTTTAACGAGCCAAGCTTGAATAGATTATGAAAAGCTCGACTCACGGCCACCCCTACTAAAGGGGAAGACTATAATACAAGGAAGAAATGGAAAGGAAATAACAAATTAACAACAACAATAATAATAATAGCAATAATAGCTTGACTTGTGGCCATCACCCAATGATGGTCCTATGCATCCAGGGTAGACTGGATATGAACCTAAGTGCATAATGATGGTATTAGGATGTAATGATATTCCCCTTGTATGGTCTTCAAAATTTTTATGTATGCTCATCTTATAGTATTGACCTGGTAGAACCCACCTTAGTGAAGTGTCACAAGAGCATTGGCATGAATCAATTATTAAATCCACAATCCTGTTTCCAACATTTCATTGTTCAAGAGGAAAAATGGATATATACAAAATAAGATGAAAGATAAAAGCCTTTTCATACCATCTAATTGAGATATAATTCCTACCAAAAAGAAGCACTACCAGTCTGAAAAGTCAAAACATTTTTAGCAAGGTTGGTTAAATATAGAGAGGATAATGAGATGGGACCTCAAAGACAGATACATAATTGCTATTACAGATAACAAAGATTGCAGCATGAAACCACATACCTTTAGAATATACTCCACAACAAGGTTTGTCTTCTGTCCCCCTAGTGCTAATGCCTAAAGAAAGGAATATAATTGTGACATTAAAATATACATACCAACTATGAAAAAAACAAACCACTAAAAATTAACAGAAAGAAAGGTTGAAAAAAAAAAGAGCTTTACAGGTATATACCTTCATGAATATATCAAGATCTTCATCAGGTTTTATGCCAGCATTCTTCTCTCTTCTTGTGAGCTCAAGAAGCATATCTGTTGTGTGTATACATCCATGTTACCACAATTCCTAAGTGGAAAGCTGCTCATAAACATGTACAGAGCAATTCATTAATCTTACCATATTTGAATCCAACGCCTTGACAACGTCCAGAGAACTCAAGAGTTTCCCTGACAGTCATCTCTGCCACATGCCAGTCATGTTGACTAACATATGCAGAGGTCCTCTGGGGAACAAACTCATTTAGATCATGCCCATTATACGTAATTTTCCCTGACATCTTCAAAGCATTTAAACAGTATTAACAGATAAGAAATGAATCAAGAACTCAATATATATAATACTAAGAAATCATCTTCAATTAATCATCAGGAATCACTGGGATTTACATAACATCAATTAAAATCCAGAATGTGAAACTCTTTTTTTTATCTTCTTTTTACAGATGATAGTAGTAGAACATGCTATACCCTTCTGCTTCCTTTTTTCTTAATTTCTAAGAATTATAGCACCCTGACTGGAAAGATACTGATCAAACCTAACTCAGAAAAAAGGCCATTCTACCATTTTGAAAGTAGGTTCTGCTGTGTAAACATTGTGTGCTTATAGGGCATGTCTGTGCGCGTGTCTGTGCGTGTGTTGAGAGCGAGAAAGAGAGAGAGAGAATTCATTTATGTGCTTAATATTCTCATTCTTGACAATGTTCAGATGAAAGTTCTAATTCAATTTAAATTCTATCTACTGCCCTAGTTTCCAACACTTCCACTTTGATTTATTACTATCTGAAAGAAATTTTCAACTTTTATACCAAGTGAGAAGACACCCTTGAAAGCTCACGTCGCCGAATCGCCAAGCCATTTTGTACATTGTGTTATAAAATACTTGTATAATCTTCATTTTTTTATATTATAATTATAAAATAGACATTATCAAACTAAAATAATCATTTTTTGTATTTATATACTACTTTCTTTCTATTATTTTTTTGTTTGTTAGGGTTTAATCAACACACAAACATTGCTAAATGCTGTATTGAACCCTCAAAGACTTCAAAACCTAAACCAATAAGGAAGAACTTAAAATTTTGTCTAATCAACATATTTTCTTCTTCCTCTGCTTCCACCTTTTCTTTTCTTCTTTTCCTACAACAAATAGGGGTTCGGCCCCTATATTTTTTGAATTTTCTTTTCTTTCTTCTTTTTCTCCTCATGAACATGTTGATTTTCTATACTTTAACATGAAGGTTATACTTTTCTTATGAAAATTATGGATAATTATTGAAATATGCTTATGGAACCTAGGGAACTACCCTAGGATACATGTTTTTTACTTAAAAAAATCCATCACCTAGGCGACTAGGCAATAAGGCACCCCCTTGGCGCCTTGAAAACTATGGGAGCGACTTCCCCATTTATGAAGAATGTACATACATATAAAGGGAAAATCTATGATGCTGGATTCTGGAAAGGTATGATACCAGAAGAGCATTGACCAATCAAAACACTTCGTGAATTTTGATGAAAACCACCCTGATTAGTTACCACTTTTTTGGTACCCATTGATTGGTTAAAAGTTTTCCCGGTATCATAGTCAAACCCACATATAAATTGTCAAAAACAGGATATAACATTATCATGGCAACCTACTTCAATCTCAGTAATTAAAGTTTTACATGGTGTTTGGGTTGTTCAGGTAATAGAAGTGGAAATTCTAGAAGGGGAGTCAAGACAAATGGAAAATGGATTTACTACACCCCCCCACCCCACCCCAGTAGATTCCAGAGTCTGCTATAACAACAGAAACACATAAATATCCACTGTTCTTGGGTTTCTTCTCCATTCTTTCTTTGGAGCCAAATGGTAGAACTGATCTTGTTGGTGTATTGCCACTTCTGCCCCAATCCAAAGATAACCTCACATCTTGGATGCGTCATGATTTTGGGGGTACAAACACAAGTTGATTATTTATCATATGCCAAATAAGGACAGATTACATTTAAATTTAACAGAGGCTTGTCTGAATCTCAATAAAATGACCCAAGTAAATGAACACCAGCTTCAACATTTGACAGGCATCATGCAACCAAGCTCTTCCATATGTTAGAACCTAATTTTAGGAATAAAGTGATTTATATTCTAATACTATATACCTTTATATTTTCATTTTTTAGATGAACATTAATATTATCTGTAAATTATCAAATAACCAAAATCCATTGAAGATCTTGAGAGATTTTCTATCCTATTTGCACAATTGCACCCTATACCCGATCCCTGTCCAGGATTCCACCATTGCAGATACCTTACCATACCAAATAACAATGATCCCACTAATATCAGTAGCAAGACCAATGACATGGCATACTAGCATGAAAAATAAAGATGGTACCTGCAAACCAGGTCCAAGACGTCCTGCAAGGGCCAAAAGCAATGTTGTCTTTCCAGAACTAGGTGGACCCAGTAGCAGTGTCAATCTACAAAGCACCACCAGATAAGTGATCAGAAAACCTGAACCACCAGTTCCGGAATTGGATTTCTATTGCAGTACCTTACCTGGAAGGCCTAATAATCCCATTTATCTCATCTAGAATTGACAATCTCTTCCTCTTGCCAGGAAAAATCCTCAATTGCCTTAAGAATGCCTTGACAATATAACAAGTAAAAATCAGGAAAAAGAAGCTGCAAAAAATTCAGATTTTTATACTCAAAACCTGTTAGAAATTACTGGATCTTACCTCAGTCATGTTAAAAATGAAGTTGGGAATGGTTGGTAATGCTCTGCTACCAACATGGACATAAGTATCCACTTTCAGATTCTGAAATCGAACCTCAATTTTTGGAAATTCCAGATCAACTCTGCAGTGCAGAAAAAGAAGAAGCATGTCTACAATGATGCCTATGCAAAAAGGTCTCACTCGCAAGAAAAATGTAAGAGAAAAAGTAGAAAACTAAAAGGTAAAATGATAGCAACATGCAGAGTTCATCACTAAGACTTCGACAGTTGAATTTCAGGCACCAAATGACATCCATGGATCAACCCCCCACCCCCCAAAAAAAGCAAAAAAGAAAAAAAGAAGTGACCATTTGCATAAGTGGAATAGCATACTCTTAGTCAATGGGAAAATACCAAATCATTGAAAATAAATAAACTTAACAATTTGCATTCAAAGGAAATAAGACAAGAGAAACTTTCCCCGATTCATAGAAAACCAATGAGAAAAAAAAAAAAAAAAAAACAGAAATTAAACACCATAAGCAAAATAAAACGAGGACAGAAATACTTCTTAAGTTCTGTTTTTTTTTTTTTTTTTTTGGTATTATACGTTTCGAGTTCAAGAGCAGAAAAGGAAAAGGAAAAGAAAAAGGTTATCCAACCGAATAGAATTAACAAACGCAAAACTCAAGCTTGAACGTTCAAAGAGAGAGGAAGAGAGAAATATAGGAATGCAAATTCGAATTTCAAAGGCAAAAATGGCAAAAGAAAAAGTAAACAGTTTAGCGTAAAGTCTGAAAGATAATAGAAAAGTTACACCAATTATACCAAAATGATGAGGATCACTAGTAGCATCTAGCATCTACTCGCTGTAAACAGCTAAAATTAATAAATAGCTATAGAAATATAAGAGAGTAGAAGAGCATTTACGCGTCGAATCTCCGCCGTATCCGATCAAAGAAGCGCTCGGGGTCTTGATCGACCGAAGAGACCAAGCGATCCAACACAAGCTTCTGCTCCTCGACTTCAAGCTCAGAGATATCAACCTCGGAGGCATCTCCAATAATGTTCCTGAAAACTCCTCTACGGGCCCGGTCGTACGTGGGCAACCTCTCCAATGCGGCCCAGGTGAGAGCCTCCACGTCGTCTCCATCTTCCCTGAAGGAGCTCGACCTTGCAAACACATTCTCTGCGGAACTCCACATGGCGGTCGAGCTCCAGCAGAGAGAAAGAAAAAGAGACAGTAAACCCCAACCCTAGGTAGTGAAAAAGGAGAAGGATGAGAAGAGTGAAGATAAGAGGAGAATTTAATGTGGGTTCTGCGGTCGGCATTGTAGAGTAGCAGTGTGCTTCCATCCAACGACTTAAGCAGCACCAAACTGGTTGTTGAGCGTGCATTAATGGCTGTCGAGATTTTTCCCTACTTTTTTATTTATTTTCTTTTCTTTTCTCAACTGAATTTCCCCTCTCTCTCTCTCCCTCTCTCTCTCTGGATGTGTACTGTTCAGAGTGTTGTACAGAGTGTATGTTTGGTTGGGAAATTTGCAGTTTTACCTCCGGTTTGAGAGAGAGAGAGAGAGAGAGAAACACGAAAGTTCGGTTGGAAGAAAGTGGAGTGGAGTTGACTATTGAGAATTTGAGCAAGCGAGCCAGCGATGGTTTGTTCATTGTCGCGGGAAAAAAGAACAAAAAGGCGGTGTTTCCGAGAGAGAGATTTAAATTAAACGGTTGAGAAGTAGGGTTTAGCAAAAGCTAAAACGGTTGCAAAAGTAATCTACTTAATATTAAAACCCAGAGTAGTTAAAGAGAGATTCGATTGCGATCCCGGTTAAGCTGCTTTTGTCTTTTTCGTGTTTTCATGTATCTCAATTCTCCCTACTAAAAATATACAGATGGAAATTGACCATTAGAGATTTGGAGTGTGGCGCCACGTGTTTATAGCTTAGAGTTAGGTGAATCTAAAGTAAGTACCATCGTGGCTCATCTCAAAACCGTTGGTTTGGAATCTCCCACTTGAAAAATATAATATATCGTAAACATAAAATAATCATAGGCACAAAATAGAAAGCCCGCTGTGGGCAAGCAACTTTTGCAAATCCAAACTTTTCTCTAGAAAATGAAAATCCAACCCAATTGGGTCTTATTATTACAGAGTTCTAAGTTCTAACCCATCTTTTACAAAGCCAACTGAATGGGGTCATTTTATTTAATTTTTCTATAACTGGATTTAAAAATTAAAAAAAAAAACAATTGGGACAATGGCGTAACCCAACAACTGGGTTGTCTGATTTCAAATCAGATCCCATCAAGGATAATCCGAACCCATTGGTTTAAAATTTAGAACAAATATGTATTACCCTTATTCGATTAAGTTCGATTTGTTTTGGCTTAGTTTGAAAGGAATACAAATATGTATTGTATGTATTTGTTGTATACGTATTTTTATTTATACTCCTTCTAAGCTGAGCCTTTATTTCAAATGGCTCAAACCCCTCACGCTATGTAAATTTTTTAAAGGAGTATAAATATAAATATATACATTATAAATACATACAAAATAATACAAATTAGAAGGTTTTGTACTCTATATATATATATATATATTTGTATTTGTACTTCTTTCAAATCGAGTCTATGTATTTTATATTATTTTTTATGTATTTATACTATACATATTTATATTTATACTCTTTCCAAATTGAGTTTAAGGTTGTATTTGATTATAGTGCAATTTTACTTGTACCAATACAAATGCATGGGAGTGCAAATGTAAAAAGTATAAATTCTTGTTTAATTTTGTTTTGGATTTTATTTTATTCCATTTCACGTCTTAATTTTCTTCATTTATACTTCAACCAGACAAAATAAGTTAAGATTTAAAACAAAAATAGGTCAGAATTTGCATTCAAATCATTTATACTGCCATGGTTTCGTATCGATGCAAAGTTATTTGCATTGCAACCAAATACAGCCTAAGGTGTAATGGCATTTGACTGAAATTTAAGAAAATATGGTAAAGTGGACCTTTTGGGGCCTTTGTCACATCTACCATTTGTAATATCTGCTTTTTTAGGGAAAAACAAAAGGGAGACTCAACCGCCTGATATGATGTGTAGGTAAAGTAATGGGACAGAGAGTGTGAATTTACTACTAGTCTACCACTATAGTAAGAAATGGGCCCAAAGATGTGGTAGGCCTAAGTTTGGTGCGCCTCTCTATTAATTACATCTTTCCATTTCAATAATGGTCCACGTCGAGAATGGATTGGTTGGTTGGCCAGATGTTACTGGTTATTACAATGGACGTACTTGCATGGTTGACACTATTTATGTTGTTTGCCACTTTGGCTATGGCTTATATACTTTTTAAAGGACAAAAAAAAAATCATTCATTTTTTAGGTAAAATTCAACTCAAGAGAGGAATATACAAATTGGGTTATTCAGACATAGGGCCTGTTTGGTAAGTTCTTTTGGGAAGATTTTCTGATAGCTCTGACAGTCAAAAAACTCATTAAGCTTTTGCATGAAGATCTGAGCAGCTCAAAGTTAGTTTGGCAGATACATGTCTTTTTATACATCTTTTCACACAAGAATAAAACACGAAAAAATATAAAAAACTTCATTTAGAGCTTCTCGAAATCAGCCCAAAATGGGCTTTTCACGTATTTTCGGAGCTCCAGCTTTTAACGGCTAGATCTTCCACGAACCAAACGGGTACAGATCGAAAATCAGTCTACCCAGCTTATAAACAGCGGAAAAACTACTCAAACAAGCCCATAGTTAATGCAAAATGTGGTGGGTCTGATTGGCCAAATCATTCCTAAATGTAGTATAAATAGGTGGGGACCATATAAAGCATAATGCCTAATTGACCTCATCACGCTATTACGTAACTTCTCAAAATAAATTGTGAGAAAAAAAAATAATTGTTCAAATGGATATAAAATTGTGTATTGGCAGTATTGCACCATCCAAACGGGTGATACTCATGGATTAAAAGGATTTTTACAGTCGAAATGGGAGAATATCATTCCACGGAAGTGGGAATCGGAATGAGATTCTGATTCTGTCCAATAAAATAATTGGAATTAGAATGAATCATTCCAATTTCAATTTCAGACCCCTATTCCCATGAATCAAATAGACCCTAAAACCGTCTCAGGTTTCAAGTTTAAAGCAGACCATCTTGGAAAAGGTAATATGGCCACTTGTCCTTTCAGTGATCCTGAAAATCAGATAGATATTGATGCTTTAATTTGAACCATAAGCTGCCTTCAGGTTTTAAAATTCCAAACAAAAGTAAATTAGAATTTGCACCCAATCATTTACATTACCATAATTTTACATCAGTACAAATAAAAATTTGCACTGCAACCAAACCCAGTAATAGCAAAAACAAGCTGCCCATTAGAAATTCCAGTCTTTCGACTATAATGCCAGAAAGACATGGTAACAAAAAAATATAACCAATCAACTGTGAATCATATAGCAGCAACCATAGTATTTTCAAATTCATGTTGATGGATGATTTCCATCCAACGTGGCAGTTGTCCGTTGATCCATATCATTACTGCCTGCAAGAGCTTTTTATCTAACCTTCATTCTTGTTCGATGAACTGTGGGCGACGGATGGCAAATGTTGCTGTTCATTTAGTTGCTAGACGGGTTTATCTCTGTCAAGACTTTTTACTTGGTCTATTATTCCAGATTTTTTATGTAATGCTGTTGAAATGGATTTTTCATCGAACTAATGGAATTCTGCCTATAAGCTTCTTTTAAAAAAATCATGTGGATTTTCATCAATATTCACAGGAGGAGAGTTTTGATTGGTCAAATCCTTTTCAATATTATGTGTTGTAAAAATAGTAAATAGAGAGGCAGAATGGAATTTATCGGTAATCGCTTTCTAAATCGAAGTTGCAGTGGTGTGAAGTTGTTGTAAGAACTTGAAATTGAGAATTACAGGAAGATGAAGGGCTGAGTCGTGCCATGGTCACTCTCTTTAAAACTGTACTACGGTGCAGTCGGGTGATTGCAAACCGGTCACTAAGATAAAACAGCCCACAGGCCACTGGTAGGCGTGCACTCACTTACCAGATCTCCACGAACCACTAAAGATTGATACTCAGATTTCTTAGAGAAAAGACTGTCGAAAAATGGTGTGTGTGTCAATATTGGATTGGCCAGCACTCTTCTGATAGAATGCTCTCAGAGCCGAATGAACACAAATGTGTCCTTTCAGATAGGAGCCTCTTCAGAACAGTGCATCTGTTCGAAGAGGCACAAGAAGGAAAAAGAGATTCGAAAAAGAAAACAATTTATTTGAAAATTAAATTTGAATTTGAAGAAACACATTTTAAAACTGAAAATGTGAAATTTGGATAAAACAAAATGATTCAGTGCATTACGCGTACACGTACACGCGCCCGCACCCCAACCCGACCCGACCCGACCCGGCCTGGCCCACGTGTGTGAAAAGCACCCCCAACCCCCCTTCACATGCATGGAACATCTATAGTCGTCTCCTCCTATAGGTCCCTACCCATAAAGGGAACAAAACTACAGATATACTCTACTTCCACTCATTTCCCAAACAATATAGGACAAAGAATTATTCAATAGAGGAAATGACAAAGACAAAAGAGTGAGGAGAGAAATTCTTATAAATTTCAATCTCCCTCCAACATCATGTCTTTCAGGCATCATAAAATTTTCCTGAATGACATTCTCATGTTTCAATCTCATGCCTTTCTTGTCTTTTATCTTCTTTTTGGGTTTGGTTTTGGTTTAGTAGGCCAAGAAACGTGTGGAGGGAAGGAAATAAATGCCGCCATTGAAAAGCTAAGAGAAATAGAACAGTCCATGTGATATTTATTGATAACGATGCAAAGATATGGTCACGTTCAAAATCGGGAACTAGTTAGAGAATTGAGGCTTGACCCATGCTTTGGTGGAGACGGGATCTGTTCCTTACACCTGGCGCCTCACACACACATCCTATAATATATTGGGAACATCTTCCCTATTTATTTGTTATTATTCAAGGGAGATGTTCCCAATGCACGTGGATGTGCATGTGAGGCGCCCATTTGTGAGAAGTAGATCCCGTCACGTTTTGGTGACGATTCACCATTGATGAGCCTTCGTCTTCATCTTGTTGAGTAACGTGGTTGTTGGGTCTATCGATCCATACTTTCGGTCATCGCTCCAAAACTGTATGTATTTGGACGACTTCGTTCCCCATTCATAAAAGCGGAAAACAAATTTTGAAAAATCAACATGGTACCATTTCATTAGAAGATGAGGAAGGAATTTGCAGAGAAGTTTCAAATAAAGGTTTCTTTTTCTGTGGGTGGGGGTGGGATGGAGGTGGGGAAGGTGGATTTCAACCAATAACATTGATCCCTTAAATTAGAGTCCCATCTCCCTTCAATGTCCGCCCTAACTTTGATGGAGACTCGTTGTCCTTTGCTCTAATTCACAGTTAATTATTTTCCTTCTTAATCTGATGCAATGTTTTAAATATCAGTTTGGAATCAGAACCGCTTTGATCACTGGTTTTTGGGTCAGTGGTTTGATTGTATGGTTCGAATGGATGATCTGTT